TGGTGACGAAATTGGAGAACCTTTCATTTTGAGCCCGATTACAATACATTTGCAATTTAATTACCATTTTTATAGAATAGAAATTGAAGAATTAGATTGGACAAAATTTCACCAAATTCCTTTGTTTCACCAAAAATCTCTTTGTTTTCTGACTGCTGCCTTTTTTGCAATCCATAGTGGTAATGTTGCTTTCTATGTCAAGGCTAGGACATTGTTTCAAATACAAGATTTCCAAAAGGCAAAGGTGACATACATAGTAGGCAAGTGGCGTACCTCACGGAGCACACGGTGCGAGGATCAAATAGTGAGGACCAAATAAATTTTGCCCAGATTAACCAACCCTTACATTCCTTAGAGATCACAGATTCGCCTGAGAGGACAAAAATTCTGTCTTATACATCGACGGGCCTCCAAGTCATTGTACATGTAGGTCAGAGCGCGCCGTCCGAATGGGGAATGGGGGAAGGATGCACGGCGCATCCCTGAAACGAATTGATTGAGGTTTAATGGGATATTCTTTTTCTTCGACACTTCCAAATATAGAAGATTTAGGTTATCTTTGTGGTGTGCTCGGACAATCCTACATGGGCGAAGAAGCATCTCCCAGCATACGACAAAGGTATGATTGTATGCTTAAAAAGAGCCAAGTGAACCGCCTGCTCATCTCTCCGATAGCAGAAACCTCTGCTCGTTAGCCTCTGACAAATGTGAGAGAAAGATGTGGGCGAAGCCTTCTGATAGTTGGGGGTGGTTGGCTTACGCGGATCTATCGTCGTGTTATGAAGGTTGGCAAAGACACAAATAGGCGAAAGATGAAGGGCACAATATCTAGGCCCAAATTAATAGGTTTTTACAGGCGTAACTTCCATTGCTCTGTTTAGGAATGATATTCGCCTGCCCGGGAGTTCATCGCGAAGTCGACATGGCAATTCTTTTACACTGTGACGCACTTGTCCTCTCTACTGGCACTTTCTCTTGGTGGAGTGGATTTCTCAACACCAAGTCCGAAAAGGTAAGAAGCTTGTGCTCCTTCTATAAGTACAAAAATGAAGTGGACATTTGTAAGTCACGTGGGCGCAGAGGGGAAGTTATTTTCAATACAAATACTTCTGCTCTTTATTGAAGGCCAGTATTTACGATTGGAAGGCAGCACATCAGAATTAAGGTAGAGGTGGTCATGGTGCCTGGATGAAGGAAAAACGTAACGACTGGGAACCCGAGAAATGGGACCCCATCCCTTGTTCGTTAAATCCTGTATCGATGCGTCTCATCGGTGCTAATCTCTTCAACTCTAACGCTCTCTATGCTGATCCTAGAAGAGCGGCGAGTAGTTAGCCAGTC